ACCATCTGCTCCACCCGAATCAGTACTTGAAATCCAAAGAAATGCCGACTATGTTTTTACCATCACTGTTTGAAAAATATTCTCTAATATTGCTTGTCCTGTACACAAATTTTTTGCAAAGCCAAATAAGTTTTGTTGAACTAATGATTGTGAAAAATAAGCATTCAATAAACTGAAGAAAGAATCGACTATTACTCTTGTATCACTATACCTAACTCTTGAAAATACACTCACTTAGATACAGATTCCAGTGATTTTGCAGCGGAAGCATTGTGATCAAACGTACAACATGGAAAAGAACCTGTGATTGCTCACTATAGCAAATCATTGAAGGCTGCAAAAAAAGTTATTATACAACTCAAAAAGAGCTACTAAGTGTTGTTACTTTTGACAGATTATGTTACAGTAAGGTGGCTGGAAACTTTCCCCATCCCAAAGGACAAATTGCAGCATGGCTCCAAAATTTCAATAGTAGAGCTTTAATATCACGCATTGACCTAGATGGAACCATAGAAATACTGATGTTTGATTCTAAAACCCATGCGTTAAGGAAAATTATTAAACACTGCAAAAGGAAGGAATCATGATATAGTAAAGATGACCAACTTAAAGTACAACAGAGTATAGTCCTAGATGGAGTCCATCAGTGGGGAAGCACTAACTTTTCAGACTTACAATACTACAATCTAGAGTTGAATTCCTCACAGTAAGCATAGCAAAGAGACCAGTGTGGTTTCACTCTTAAACAAATAAACAAAGATGTGACATCTACAAATGATTACGAAGAACTAATGTGTTATATATGCGAAGGCTTTTACAATACAAGTTTGAAAACAATTATTGATATTTTTAAATAATACAGGAAACCTCTTATGGAAAATAGTCACTCCATATACCCCAAGAAAAGATGTACTGGACACAATGGAATTCATTATGCCTATAAAAGGACTTGTTAATGTGAAAATGGAAACATACTAGTGGACTAAAAATAGCAATGAGAGTTGTTACTTCCACAGTCTTTACATTCCAAAGCACTCCATCATCTCCACAACTTTCCAAAAGCCATTCACTTAGGTTTTAAGAAAACACTGGAAAGAGACAAAATATTTTGTTGTTTGCCAGAGGTCTGTAAAGAATTCATGTAAAGCATGTAAATTACGCTGTGAGTTGAATGGTCTACATAAGAAACACCAGGGCAGCTACAGTAATATTGTGTTGGAGCACCATGGAAAGTTGCTATTGAAGTACTCGGTTCTCTGCCACAGAATGGCAGTGGAAATGTATATGTCATAGGTTTACTGGACTATCTCACAAAATGGACAGGTTCAAGGAAAGTAGTTGATGAATTCATTTCAATATTTGGGCTGCATATGCAGATAAGGGAAGAAACTTTGAGTTAGCCTTATTTATAAAAATGTACCAGATTCTTTGAATCTAAAAGACCAGGATAATGACCCTTTATCCCTCTTCTGGCAATATGTAGAGAGATATAATCAAATACCTTTGAGCCAATTATGAAGATGAGCATTACAAAATGTGGGATCAAGATCTTCCACTGCTACGTATGAGTTATCATATGACAGTATATGAAGCTATAGATAACACACCACATCACTGGTGATGTTTGAAAGAGAACTTAAAGCAACATTGGACCTTTTGTACTGACACTTGAAGAAAGTCACTCAGTAGTTTTACACGGAATATAGAGACTGAGTAAGAAACACCATTGAAAGATGTCAATGAGCCAGTGACAAAATGAAAAGTTGCTATGATATTAATGTTAATAAGACTGGATTTCACTAAGATGACATTATATAGTTGTACAATCCCAGCTGCAAGAAAGGTGAACTTGAAAGTTAAACAGTTGTTGGAAATAGCCTTATGTGGTACTGAAAATAATCAGTGATGTGGTTTACAGATTACAGAAGGACAGGCAATCCGTGTTAAAGATCATCCATGACCAGCTTTGGAAATACTTTAGTAAGCAAATTTCTAAATTACTTTAGTGAGCTGAGTAACTTCATAGAAGAATTTGCCAGTGGAAAGTCAATGAACTTAAGAGCTAAAGATTCTTGCCGAGACCATTTTCAAAGGATCACCAAGAATAAAGCAGCCAATAAACTTGCTAGACCATCTACATAGGTAGAACTTCCCCAATAATAGAACAGCACATGATTATATGGGCCAAGATGCCATTTCATCTGCATACCATAACCCTCAGAGAAGAAAACCGCAAAAGCGAATTGGAGAAAGGACAGTTTATTATACTGTTTTAATTGTGTGTTAGAATTGTTTAATGTACTGCACAATCCCATAAAGTCAATGTTGTAAGCTTTATTTTCAGTGTTTTAATTTAGATGCTTGAGAGAGAGGAAACATGATAATATCTATACAAAACGAGTGCAATATAACTATGAGACTTGGTGAAGCAAGGAAATGTTGATTATTGTTTGAATTAGTTTAGTGATAGCTGGACAGTGAAAATGATTGGTTCTGTGATTCAGTTAGAGTTGGTATGACTGTGAATGAAATTTTGCAAGTATGTTTTGTAATAGTGAGTTAGGCATAGGTTAGTTTTTGGGAGTTCTGTTGTGTTTAAAGTTAGGCTCACATGTGAAAATAGCTCATAGCAAAGGTTATTGAAGAAATAAGTTCATTTATCATCTCCTAGCCTGGACTTTACCTTGTTTTCATGTAATAAAAAATAATCTGTTCAATGATCTAACATATTATAGCATTACTGATCCAATGGGCCCCTTCCAATGCATTCAGACATTCATTTGTTCTGGTTAGTGGGAAAATGTCAATAACAATTACTGAATTCAATTGCTTAAAATGAATGCAGAATTTGGATGTAACTTTCTTCTTTCTGACAACCTCTACTGGAAATGGACAACCACTCTATGAAGATTTCATGGTGCTCATGGGAAGTCTACATAGCATTTGTTTAATAGGACAAGTAACACATATTTCTTGTGACCAAGTCAGCCATTTGAATTCATGAATACATTGACATATTCTACCAACAAATCACTGAGTCGTCTGGACAATCCTAAAGTAGTGATCTCACATGTGTTGGTATCTGTGTATTTAGTTTCAGATGCAGCTCAATAGATTCAACCATAGCATTACCAGCAGCATTGGTTATTTCTACTTCACTTACCAAGCCAATGGTCATCCAGCATGCAGTAGGATAGCAAATCATCCATAATTGCATAATCAAGTCAGAAATTTAACACCCCCGCCTTCAGGTAGAGGTAGTTCATTCAATAATGACCCAATGTTCAATGGGCAAAACAATTGCTTCACACCTGGGTCAAGAAGAACATCCTGGTCAAGGCATCAGTGTCATTGATACCAGTGTTGTAGCAATTCAATGCCAGTATTTATGAGTGATGGGTTAAGCCTTGGCTTGATTCAAACCTGGCATGAGGTGGGTGACTGGGTAGGACGTGGAAATCATTGGCACAACATATTAACTCAGTTCTCTAACAAATGGTAGACCCATGGTCCAGAGATG